ATAGTAGTATATTTTTATTCCCGTGGATTAATTCCTCCGCTAGCCAGGCCACGTAAAATGCACTTCCAAGTACTCCGCGTCCTCCGCAAGATGGCGTAGCCAAGTGCGACGAAACTTTAATCCTGGTGATGTAGGGGTTTAGGGGTTAAGGGTTTAGGGTTTAGGAAGTTTAGGTTTGGGGGAGATCTGGAGAAGTCTTGGGCGGTTTTGAGCTTTATAGGGGCAGGCCGTGGTCCTACGCATGGTCTTGCAGGGTGAGTATGCATTTGGGTTATCTGTGCTAAAGCCACGCGTGAAGTGCAGCTGAGGCTAAACTGCTCTTTCCCATGTACACAGTTGCCGTTGAGACGTTATTGCGGATGACAGCTGTTGAACCGCATGAAGAGCTGAAGGCGGGCGTATTCGTTTAGGGTTTAGGGTTTAGGGTTTAGGGGTTTAGGGTTTAGGGGTTTGGGGTTTAGGGTTTAGAATTCTGATCTGAAGACTCAGGGAGTCCACGCAGCTTCTCAAACTTCGCGGGAAGCCTCAGTACCCGGCCCTGAACCCTAACCCCTAAACCTATAAGGCTTTAAGTACTGAGTCTGTAGAAGCGCTCAATTGTGTTGGCTTCCTGTATACTGGTTGCACAGAAGAAGTTTGGATTTCTGCTTTGTTTAACATGACAATGTAGCAAGCGATACAGACTGGGGGCCCGCATGTCTGCAAAGACTACCTACTTATAAGGCTCATGCAGGGCAAACCCTCACCTCAACAAGTTTCTTCCCGGCTGTGGGTAGCTCTGGTGGAACAAATGTATTAGGTCTACTGGGCAGTTTGGGCGCGGCAGGCACGCGGGGAGCTGGTTGAGTTCGAAGACAGCGCGGATCAAACGGCGAGCTTTGTTTCGCACCAGTGGATGACCCAGCATCACCCTGACCCCGAGTGCGAGCAGCTGAAGATTTTACAGGGTGCCTTCACGCATCTTTTGAGCAGTGGCGGCAGTGTGCCTGTGGACTTCGTTACCGAGGCTTTTGTGCTCACCGCAAAACCGATTCCGAAGAGCACGTTTCGGACCTCTGCGCTAGTTGTGTGGTATGACTACTTTTCTGTCCCACAGCTGGAGAAGCGCCAAACCTTTGGTGCTGACGACAAGGACGGCAGCCAGCAAGCGAGAGGTATCAACAGCATCCCGGCATATGTGGCCAGGTGCAAGCATTTTCTGGCACTTTGCCCAGCTCTCAAGTCGGACTCCAAAGTGCTCGGTGCGATGACGTGGTCCCAGAGGCTTGCATGGCGTTTTAGCGTGGCCCCAAACCCTAAACCCCATACCCTGTATAGGGGCCTTAATAATTACCTATACTATTTTGGGGGGTTCCTTATTATACTTATAGTATAATATACCCCAAATCCCATTCTAATTATTAAGGCCCTATAGTAATTCAACTGTTCGTTTTGTTTTAGTCATGTTTGGATGCATGGGGTCTACACATGTAACGTTACCCTAAGCCGTGAAGCTTCCTTGTTCTGTTTGTTCGGTGGACCCTTTTAGGGTGTAGCGTTCTACCCTTCTAGGGTTTACCTTAAGAACCCAAAACCCACTTTTTTGTAGGGCCTTATTATAAAACTTAATATGGGATTTATAGGGACCCTACAAGACAGTAGGTTTCGGGTTCTTAAGGTAGGGCGTATAGGGTTTAGGGTTTTATGTTGGACGTTCCGCGGGGTGCTAAACTGAAGCCCAGCTATTATAAGGAGGGGCTGGTGCCGCGTGGAAAGAGCAGCGCGCGAGCTGTCTCCAGACAGCACCTGGATTCTGATTAAGAGTAGCACCTGCCTTGAAGTATTGGGTGGAACGACGTCCTTTCCAACAGGTCCAGTCGGAGAAGGCAACTTTTCAAACGAAGAGGATCGCCAGACATTGGCACCAGTGATGCGGAGCATTGTAATGCGGAAGATGCTGCACTGCTTGAAGAGACGGGACTTCCCCGGCTTCCGGCGCCAGCTCAACTTGCAGAGTGTTCACTTTCGAGGCCTTGAGGTCCAGCCCATAGACGGCCTCCTCGATATCGACCATGATGCCGATGCAGTTTCACAATTCCTCTTCCAGAACGGCCTCAGGAATGTCCGAAAACCTGACACAGCAGGCTGGCGGCACCCTAAACCCTAAACCCTAAACCCTAAACCCTAAAACCCTGAAGCCCTAAACCAGGCTGGTGGCCGCTGCACTATGCAGCGTTGTCCGGCCAGGCTGAGGTCATCCGAGGGCTCCTGCAGCTGCGGGCATCCGTCAACCAACGGACTTCCAAACCTGAGCCTCTAGGTTTCCTGAGTACCAGGACCCCCCAATGGCCCTTTAATGGAGCCCTTATGGTCCCTAATAGTGGGTATTTAAGGGAGAATAGAGGGTAGTTGGGGGGTCTAGGTAGTACCCTTTTGCCCTTTTTATTTTCCCAAAGGGTCCAAGTTATAGTATAGTATATATTTTGGGGGCCCAAATCCCAACAAAGTAGCTACCATATTAGTACTTGGACCCTTTGGGTTTGGGGTCCCGGAATTGAATTCGAACAGTAGGAAAAAGTGTACCCTTTTTTATAAACGGGCTACTCAGAAGCCCAGGCCTAACTTGGGCGTTCCGCCATGGATGTCCGCGCTAGATCTGGCAGCGCTTTTCGCGCACCGCGATGCCGCACTGGCTTTGATCTCCGCTGGCGCCGACATGGAAGGCGGCGTGGCTCCAGCCCAGAACTACACTCCCATGATGGACGACGTCGAAGGCCTCCGCGCCCTTCGCGCCGCGGGAGCTCGTCGGGAAGCCACTGGCATTCTGGGACACTGCCCCCTGCATGTGGCAGCGGGTATGAATTCGCTGCTCTGTATGGAGGAGCTGGCACCGCATTCGAGCACCGAAGAGCTCAACATGGCACTTGGGATAACCGCATTGCGAGGTGGCTCAGTGGAGCAGGTCCAGCTCTTGATTTCCAATCAAGCCGACGTGAACTGCCAATACGACGTGGCACGTGAGATGAACCGCTTGTTTCGGTTTCTGGCTTTGGAGTATACCATACTTTAATACTTTTTTGGGGACCTGTTCCTTAAAGGAACCATTATGAAAATAAAAGTCTATAGTTCTTCTCCCTGGTTAATTACTTCAGAGCCCAGGTTTGCTATTCGAGCCACAGCTTTGGCGCTCCGCTGCGGGAAAGGCACAGGTTTCTCGACCATCGCGTATCATTTTCACCGCAGCACGCCATTGATGCATGCCGTGCGGATGGCTAACTACGAGACCGCGGCGGCCCTAATTGCAAACGGTGCAAGGGTAGACTCTGACCTTTGCGACTCCCGGGGCTTCAGCGTGGCCGATTTTGCAAAAGGCCAATCCATTCCGCACTTTTTGCAGAAGGGTTTGGATGGAGACCCTTCAGAATGTGAACGGGTCATGTCCCTCGCATTCGAGAATGGAATGATCGAGGTTGCCTTTTGACACTTTGTGAGTGCTATGGGTTCGTTCGAAGTTTGCACGGGCCGTGTTCACTCGACGGTTGCACGGGCCGTCATGAGCTTCCGATATTTTCACATGCCTCCTAAAAGAAGGCGATTGTCAGAACTACAGCAAGGACGGCACCAGGACTGAAAGGCCGGCATGCATGCCTTAATTATGAACTTTGGATCGTGTACTCTACAAGCCATAGACTGGCCCTAAGCCCCAAACCCAAAACCCAAAACCTCAGCCCAACACCCGAAACCCTAAACCCGAAAGCAATTCACCTGGTTTAGGCTTTAGGGTCACCTCGTCCTTGCGATGCAGCAATGGCACGTCTGCCGAAACACTTTAGCAAGCCAACACGGCTTAAGCTGAGCTATTTCCGTAAACTCTGTTGTTACTAAGTCCTTATATCAAGATCCTAGCCCTAAACCCTCTCCCGCTCAACCCTCAACACTATATGCTATATGAGTGGTTTTCTACATTAGGGTCCCTTTCGGTTTGTTTTTCAGAAGGTTGCCGTACTATATTGGAAACCTACAAAGGGCCCCTCATTGAGAGAACTACCCATATGATACTGTTGATGATGTAAACTCTGCAATACTTTAAGGACCCTAAACTATGGGAATTGAGATATATTCCTTATTATGAGTAACCCTAAACCCTAAACCCTAAACCTCAACCTTAAACCTAAACCGAATTTCATCAGCCGTAGGATCCTTTGTGCTTTGCGAAGGGGGCCCCGGCTACCGGCCGCGACGAGACCGGCTGGGCACCTTTGCACTACAGCGGGTAACCCAGAGCTTCCTGGGTTTTGGGATTCGGGAACCCTAAACGGCTTTAAGGGTTCAGGGTAGGGTTCAGAAACCCGAAACCCTAGAAGGGGTCAGGGTCTAGGGTCAATGCTTAGGAACCCTAAACCCTAAAAGGCTTTAGGGGGTAGGGTAGGGTTTAGGACGGAACCCTAAACCCTAAAAGGGTTAAGGTTTTACGGCAGGGTTCAGGAACCCTAAACCTTAAACCGTTCAGGCTCTAGGGTGTAGGGTTCAGGAACCGTAAACCCTATAGAGCTCCCAAACCCTAACCTAAACCCCTAAACCCAAAGCCCTAAACCCTAAACCCCGAACTCTAAACCCCAAACCCTAACCTAAACCCCTAAAAAGGTAGGTTTCTTCGGGTTCAGGTGGGGTTTCGGGACCCAGGGTTCAGGAGGGACCCCAGGTTCGCGCGGGGTGGGTGGGTTTCGGGGTTTTAGGGTTGTAGGGTTTAGGTTTAGGGTTTAGGATTTCGGGAGGGTTTAGGGTTTTAGAGTTTCGGGGAGTTTAGGGTTTTGGAGTTCAGGGGTTCAGGGTTGTGGAGTTCAGGAGTTTAAGGTTTCGGAGTTCAGGAGTTTAGGGTTTTGGAGTTCAGGAGTTTAAGGTTTTGGAGTTCAGGGGTTTAGGGTTATGGAGGTGAGGGTTTGAGGAGTGTTACGGCTTTGTTTATTTAGTGCTCTACGGTCCTGGCTTTTTAAACCTCTAGGGTTTTGAGGGATGTTTGTCCAAGCTGGGCCCTAAAGTGCAGTTCGTTGTTTTGGTCACTTGTTTGTTTGTTCGACTGTTCGAGGGTCCCAATCGTTAAATTTACCGGTTGGTGATTTACGCATGTATACTTACTCTGACCCGCACGTTCAGGACCCCAAGCCCTAAACCCAAACCCTTAGAAAGGGCTGCCTAAGCCCTCACAAATCCTACCCTAAACCCTAAACCCTAAAGCTTGAACTCTAAAATGTTCAGAGCCCTTGTCCCAGCCCAGCAGCCTTTTGGATGCATCGGCAGTAGCTCCGGGGGTTGTCCGTGCAAGACGCCGTGTGATAGAACTATGCGGCCAAGCCTCAAAGCTCCTATAAAGCCAAACCTCTCCTTCATGACTCAAAGCTTTAGGGTTCACGGTTTTACCCTAAACCCTAAACCCCAAACCCTTAGCCCTAAACCGAGAGTTAGCGTAGATTACAACATCACAGGCCCTAACGCCCTCAATGCCAGAGCTCCCCAGCCTTCTCCGATCCGCCGTAGCTTTGGCTCTTTGCAAAGTTCTGCAATTTTTGGACCCGAAACCCGAAACCCACGGTTTAGGATTTAGGGTGTAGGGTAAACCCTGAACCCACGGTTAAGGGTTTAGAGAAACCCTTAACCCACGGTTTGGGGGTTAGGGTTTAGGGTTTAGGATTTAGCCTTAAGCACCAAACCCTTAACCCCATACCCTGAAGCATCCAAAACCCCAAGCCCCAAAACCTAAACCCAAACCCTAAACCGCGAACCCTAAACCATTCCCAACAAACTCGAACCCATGGTAGGATCGTGAGGATTTAGTGTTGAGGGTATCGGGGTTCAAGACTAGGCGGGTAGATAGTTGTGCAAACATCCCGACACATGTCAATCTAAACCCCCTAAGCCCTAATCCTTTATCGTAGTTCCGAGTTTACGGCTTTATCAAATACTCTTACAACCCGTGAACCTTAAACCCCAAATTCCTAAACTCATTTTACGTATCTGGTTCACCCCCCATCGCTGAAACCTATTTAACTTTTGCCGTGCTTCGGGCTTTGGGGTCCAACCTTTAAATCATCAAGCCTTCGTTACCTATTTTCGCCTCAACCCTGAGCCCTGAAGTCCTTGAAACCTGCTGAAAACATAATGCCTAAATCCCATCAGCCGTGAAACGGTTAAGGGTGTAGGGTTAGGAATCATCTTAGACCCCAAACCCTAAACCCTAAACCCTAAACCCCTAAACCCCAAACCCTAAACCCTAAACCCTAAACCCTAAACCCTAAACCCTAAACCCTAAACCCTAAACCCTAAACCCAAACCCCTATCGCCGTACTTGGGGGTTAGGGCTCTGCGCGGGTTGGCCCCTGGGATGCTGCGTGTTACCAGCCTCGCGGGAGAAGCGGCTCGCCTCAACAGGGTTTAGGGGTTTAGGGTTTAGGGTTTAGGGTTTAGGGGTTTAGGGGTTTAGGGTTTAGGGCTGCCGAAAACTGGAGACCGTTTAGGGTTCAGGGTTTTGGGTTTGGGGTTTCGGGTTTAGGG